AAGAGCACAGCAGATAAGAGAACACTGAGTGCAGAGGGCATAACTCTGCAGCAGACACGCGGTGTTTAGAAGATGAGCAATAAATAACAAACTAATTATGTTTCGGTACAAACAGTGCCTGAGCAGGAGGAGTGCTTTGAGCCAAGCTGTGGGTACATGTGGCTCATACAGCCCAACTTACATCACACTTCTTCAGTGAGGAATTGAGCCCCCTACCACAGAACTGTTTAACTCTGATCATCTCTGCATGCACTTGCTGCACCCGTGCAGTCCCACAAACACACACTCCACTCAAAGCTGCAGAAAATGAGATATTTTTGCATTTATTTACACGCAGTTAAAAACCCAGTGGCGTTCACAGTTTGAAATGTAGATGCTTGTCACCTTTTTAACAGTTAAAAAATGGAAATTCTAAATTTGTTTTCGTTGGCTAATAGGAATGGAATTTATTACCAAGTGCAAATAGATGAGAATGAAACAGAAAATTTTAGATCAACCCCAAACATTAAAATGTTATTCTGCAAAATAATACAATTGTTTTACCCCTTTATCTCTTCTTAGAATACTTTAGAAAGTTTCATCTGATTGGAAAATTACTTTTTTTTTTTATTTATTTTATTTGGCATATGTCTGTTAGGAGACATTGAAACATAGCTAAAAGCTGCAAAGAAATTGGCTGTGTAAATTCTTGCATTAGGGTCACAGTGGTACCCCTTGCTTTGGTGCCTGAAAATAAGTGAGGACTCACTGTGTGAAACGGTTGTAAGCCAGAAGATTCTTTTGGATTTGTATATATTTCCTATGCTCTCTATGTTTTTCACATGACACACATTGATGAAGGGATGGAAGAGACTGTACAACCACTGTATTCTTGAGAAATCTCTATTTCTCATGGCCTTGCCTAACAGCTTGCTGCAGAAAAGTTCATTTCCAAACAGCTGTCCCTATGTTGCCTTTAAGACCAACAGATAGGGTGATGCTTTATCCAGGTGATAGTACAATTTGTGTGCTAAAGTAATTAAAACCAGACAGAAATCATTTTTAAAACAAATAAATCCTACATCTGGGCCCCTGTACTTCCCTCTGTGGGAGGAATTAAACAATGATGTATTCATGGGGGAATAGAGAGTTTTAATGGAGCTATCTGCCAATGCAGCCCCTTTTCAGATCGCTGCCATTTCTCCACAGCAATTTCAGGGCTCCTCCAACTGTGATTTTTCTGGGTGCCCTTTTAAAAGCTTTTAACCCAGATAACTAGAATAACCCATTGGCTCTTAGGTTTTTGTAATAAAACATATGAGAATGGGGGCCGTGCTGTTTAAAGCAAGTAAGTAAGGAGAAAAGAAAATGAAAAGAAAAAAATGCAAAAAATTCACACTGTGAATCTCGTAGAATTCTTTCTTTTGTTGTTGAAATTTTGGTTTTGCTCAACAGTTTTAAATAGTTGCTTGATTTCCAGGCTTCAAAATCACAGAGAATAGTCTGTAAGATTTCTTGCATTTTCTGTGTGGGAAATAATTACTTGCATATCCACCATTTCCAGTGACCTCATATTTGTGGGTTGTCAGCATCTCTCCTAAGGACTGGATGACTTTATGTCCAAATTTTTTGAGTCTCCTCCAGTCTGAAGTGTATTCAGTTTTTTTAATGTGCATATGTGTGACTAAGTAGGGTGTCTGTTGACATGTGTGAATGTGATATTTAACGAATTTCCATTAAACTCAGCAGGATTTAGCAGTTCTGGAAACAAATTACAGCTGTTCATGCAGAGCACTCAAAAATTCAGATACCCCAAGAATACGAGCTACTGAGTGCTGGTGAAGTTATAAAGTTTCAGAGTTGCCAAAAGCAAGAAATATTAGAAATGTTGTAAAGGATGAGGGGATTGAAGCAATCTTATCACTTCCTACAACGACCTGGAAAGGGATTGTAGCGAGGGAGGGTCGGTCTCTTCTCCCAGATAATAAGCGATAGGACAAGAGGCAATGGCCTCAAGTTGTGCCAGAGGAGGTTCAGACTGGATATTGGGAAACATTTCTTCACCAAAAGGGTCGTCAAGCACTGGAAGAGGCTGCCTGAGGAAGTGGTTTTGTCACCATCCCAGGACGTTTTTGTAAGATGTGTGGATGTGGCACTTGGGACGTGTTTTAGGGGTGGATGTGGCAGGACTGGGTTAAAGGTTGAACTCAATGATCTTAAAGGTCTTTTCCAACCTAAATGATTGTATTATTCCTATTGTCCTCTGCTGCCTGTTTTTTTTCTCTTTTTGTTTTTCTTTTTCAGATGCTTAGCACGGTTTTTAAAGACATCTCTACATTGAAGTATATATCTCAATTGACTTGAAATAAGAAGGCTGAGAAGCTTAAATCCAAAGAATAAGAACTAATAAGATGTTACGTTGGGAAAAAGTCCTGAAATCTGTTCTTGGTATGCTGTGTTGCCTATTTTTTAGTAAGTAAAATGTTCTCTTCATGGTTTTCTTTGTTTGCATAGGAGAAGAGCACTGCCCAAGGAAATGCAGAAGGATTTGTTTAAAGAAAAAGGAGCTCTCTAACTACTCCTATAATAGTGTGAATGATTTAATGCAGAATGGAATTACCTGGTGAAAGGTAAATACATTGGAAATCACTGCCTGAAAGCTCAGTTCCCATGGAAATACATGTGAATGATACCCCTAGAAACAAAAAGAAAACAGAAACTGGCTTTCCATCAATATAAAAATGGTAGCTGATTATACAGACAGCATTTGGAGCTGTGTTACCAACAAATCCCATACCATTTCCCCTCTTGCCTGCTGCTTATCTGCAAGGATGGGCTCTCAGCTCTGCACAGTCACTGCCTTCATCCAGAGTCTCAAACAATGGGAAAGCAATGACAAATTCAGCCACTTACTGCAGCTGCCAGAGTGATAGCAGCAGTAGGAAAAGACAAAGCAAAGCAAAAAAAAAAGCTGGTGCTAACAACAATGACATCTAACAGCTATCTGACATAGTCTAGAGCCCGGGCTCTGCTGCTCTGCCTGCCAGAGTACTGATGGTAAGCTGGCACCCAGATGCTACAGTGATGGGCAATAAATAAATAACATTGTTTAGTTCACAATGAAGATGAGTCAGGACACTCAAGAGACAGGGCATGATTCACGTTCAGCCTTCAGAACTCCATCAGATGTAAGTTATTTTGCTTGCCCTCAGGAATGCAGTAACTGGGACTGGGAAGCAGATAGTTATTACTGTGTTACTGCTGTGCTTGGCTACTATATATGTTAGTTTACAACTGTTCCATGTTCAAGGAAGTTGTTCCTTTTTCCTCAGGTGTCTATGAGAAGCTGCCTGGTGGAATGAATCCTTCCAACCAAGCCATGGAAGTGAACAACACAAGGCAAAGCAAACGATCTGCAGTCTGGCTTGTCCTCTACTGGGGAAATATCCCCATGATTTTTCTCAGTCCAGAACCTCATATTTGAATTCCTTTTACATAATTTTGTGCCTTTTTTTTCTTTTTTCCTTCCTAGAGGGAGACAGAATGTCAAGGTCCCGAGCTATGCTTGTTCTTTTCATTGCAAGAGAGGTGCAAGGAAAAAGTGGAGCTCAGTTTGAAGTTACCATTTCTTTTTAATTGATCTGCATTTCTTAATGGCCATGAAAGAGCTCCATTCAGTGCTGTGTCCTGTTCTTGCTGGGTGTGGATGGAGCTTGTTGCTCTTGCACTTTTCCTCTGTTGTTCAAGTCTAACTCTAAACTTTTCAGCACATGAGAGCACAGAGATAACAAACCCCCAAATGTTACGTGAGAATGTCACAACTTGGGAAACAGAGGCATGGATTTAAAAACTACTTGCATGGCAGAAAAATTAAACAACTGTTACTCTGAGAGGCAGCTAGAAAAGAGTTTTTCTGTAGAGTGTCTTTGTTCCTTTTCCTTACCTGGGAGGATTTGAAGGCATGGTTCTATAGGTAAAAGAACATTTTTACATGGCCATACTGCATTGTTTAAAAGCTCTTATTTTCCTGTTTTTATGACAGCTTGGCAATTGTGATTAGAAGTAAATGTCTGATTTGAGAAGGCCAATTCATGGATGCAGTTGCTGTCTGGCACAGTCTTCTGTTCTGTGCAAATCTTCCCAACCATGAACATCCAGCCTTGTGCAGCATGGGATCCACATGGATGTCTTTTGCTGAGTCTGGGATTTTTTTATAAATGCTTCTACTCTAAAAAAAAAAAAGAATTAAAAAAAAATCCCACATACAGTTAATTAAAAAATTTAAAAATTGCTTTTGAATTTAATATGTATTTAACACGTCCTAAAGGTGGAGATGCTGAATTTTCCTGCTAAATTTTAACTTCATTTTAACCTTTTCTGTTTCTTGGTTTTATTTGTACCTTGAATATGGGTTTTGACTATGCTGTCTGCCTAATTTTTTTCAGCTGAATTTTGTGCCATGTTTCCTAATGAAAAGAGCCTCCTCCTGCTTCACTACTTGCATTTGTGCATTACAACACAACAGTGCAGGAGGATTATGTCTATCAACCAAAATTAAAACATATTTAAAGGACAGATTTCTCCAGTGCTCTGTAGGCTCCTGGAATAAATCTTGTGATACAGCATAGAGGAGATAAATGTAGCATGCTTTTGACTAAACTTTAGATAGAAAATTTTTTTAATGTCTTCTTGGGATGATGTTCAGGATGGTGTGTCAGGAAAGAAGTGTAATTCCAGTTGCACACAGCTGAGTATGTACAGGAAAAAATTGTTGTGTAATATGTACTGATGTATCCTATGCTTTGCCATCCAGTAGCCATAAATGAGTGCTGAAAGTTTCTTCTTTTTAGTTGCATTTAAATTTAACCTCTCCTGTTACTCTCTTTCATCATTTTTTCTGGGGTCTAATTTTATATCACAGCTAAAAATATTACTCTTACCAAGTCCCATTCATTCCCAGGAGCTGTCCCTTGGTTCCCAGTTTTGAGGATCTTGCTCTGTGGGCAGTCACCATCATTTCCACCATCAAAGCCCTTGAAGCAAAGTTTCACTTTGGAAGGCCCACGCAGTGAGAAGTTAATCACCTATTGCCACAACAGTGCACAGGAACGAGCAGTTACCAAATCACCAGGTGGGTGCATGTTCAGGAACGCCCTGGAGGCTTTAAGACAATCACAAACTATTTCTCCAGTGTTTGTTTATTTCTCCTGTGTCTGTTCAACACATATTTTTTAAATATTTGTTTAGTTCTTCACGGTTATTTAGTGTGCAAACGACATGATTGGAGTCAGTTGATATTAGATTTCTTTACACTGTGTCCCTTGTTCCTTTTTGGAATTCTGCAAGAATAATGCACACTTCCTTAACTGTCTGTTGGCACTACTTACTGAGATCTGCACAGGTAGGTGTCCTGGTCAAAAGATACGTTCTGTGCTGGTTGGCTGATCCAGCCAACTGACCTGTGTAAATAAAGGTCTTTTCTCCAAAAAGCCAGCCATGGTCATTTCTCAGTCAAGACTTGGAGTAAGTGGTCAGTACAGACCTTCGATTTCCATGCATGT